TGTCTTGTCTATATTAATGGGAGTCTCTTTTATCGTTTTATTTAATCAAATTCATTATTGCAAAATGATTCAAATTTGTTCCAGCTCTGATATGGCAGCATATTCGTCTTTTATCATTATATAAGCTTTGGGTAGAGCTTCCCTTTTAACTTGGCTTATATATAAATAAGTTAAGGGGTTAAGTTACAAACCCAAATCGTCTTGTATTGGATTTCTCCCCTACAAACGCTGTTTGTCGCTGGGTAGCCGACCCCGCGAATTCCCCAGTGTATGCTTCGTGGTCTAGGTCAACCAGCGCCGCCTTACATGACGGAGGTCAACTACTAAGCCACGCCTACCTCCGCTATTTAAGACCTGACCTCGTGGCGACCACCCTCTCCGCCACTTTACTTCATTATCATCATCATCGACCACCCTCTTTCTACCTACACCAACCAGCCAGCAACACCTCCTCCTCCTCCGCCTGCCTGGCGGTCCTCGCTCCCGCCGGCGAGCATGGCGACCCACAAGCTGGTCCTCCTCTGAGCACCCTCACCAACCAGCTCTCTCTACATCACGCTTGTAACCACGCTGCCACTTCCCAGCACCAAGCTGCATTGTACATCCAATACAACATGTATACAGAGAGCACATTGTGAGTTTCCTTTCTCCATCCCATCCTGAGTGTGAACCAAACATAACGTACCCCACAGTCTATTAGTAGGTGCACCGTAATTAACACTGTAAGCTGTGAGTGTTAGTTAAGGACAGGGCTCAGCTTGACTGAGTTAAGTCACCCTTTCGATTCTCGTGAGGCCCAAGTGAAGACTGGTCTCCTGAGGGGAGGCTGGACTGACCCTACATTCTCAAGGTCGGCTTACTGATAGAGGAATTTCTCCTCACATGAACAGCACATGGCAACTCACAGCTTGTGGAAAATTACCGTGGGGTGATTGTATTATATAAACTAAATGTATTAACCCTAATTAATATAATTGTTATTGCCATGTGACAGGGGCAAATACATCATAAGTTATCGTTGATTTTCTGACTTGTTCAACTATTGTGTTCAGTGTGTGTCTGTCTGTCTGTCTGTCTGTCTGTCTGTCGTCTGCGCGTATGTTGTTAAAATCGTTAAGACTTGAATTTCAACAGATTGGAGGTGTGTCCATCCTATACACCAGCGATTTTCAACCAATGTGCCGCGAAGCATCCGTAAGTGTGCTGCGGGAGTTTAAATAGCATTTGGATACGTTTTGACATTACTGGTACTTCTATGGAGCGCATTAAACTCCTTTTTTCAATGATGCAATAAATAAGCAAATGTGTTGTTCATTAAAAGACCAAATGGCAGTTTTAAATTCTCTCCTTAATTCCGTAGTGTAGATCCGCCGATCAAATCTATCCTTAAATACTGGTGGTGAGCCTCGACCATTGTAGTGCCTGGCTCACTGTGCCGTCAGGTGAAAAAGGTTGAAAATCACTGCTTTACACGGACCTAGATCTTATCGTCTGCCGCTATTAACAACTTTGCTTTAAGTTTTTTTGTATTTTGGCATTCTTGTAATTCATTGGAGAGTATTTTGCTTCGGAATTGTAGCAAGAATTTATGCCGCACCCTAGGTCGTATTTGTCGTCGTAGTAGTTAATGAAGTCGTCCTTCTCGTAATCGTAACTGACGAATGAAATAATCTTATTCAATATCAACAAAATTCAAACTAAATATCTAAACTTTGGAAGCACTGTGTCAGAGTTCCTGTTACCACAAAACCCTTATAGAGAGAGAGAGAGAGAGAGAGAGAGAGAGAGAGAGGGGGGGATTATGTGTGTACGTTTGCTCATCAGATCACCTGGTTGATCAGATCACCTATATTATACTGAGACTCTCTGCTATAGATAAACTCATTCTTTCTCTAAGGTTAGGTTAAATGAGGTTACGGCGCTGATGGGTCAACCATCACCAGAACCATCAGCATAGGTCAACCATCACCATAACAACCATCACCAGAACCATCACCAGAGGTCAACCATCACCAGAGGTCAACCATCACCTCGTAAACTATAATATAGGAGTGTGTGGATAATTACCAACCCGTCAGGCGACTATTAGATTAACACAAGACACTTTTGTGGTGTAGTAAAACAGGATAACCTTGGCCTTTATGGGATCACCTGCTGGATATATACTTCTTGTTCCCACTCTATTCCCGTTATTTCCATTCTATTCCCGCTATTCCCACTATTCCTGTCATTCCCACTATTCCTGCTATTATTTCCACTATTCCTCCTACTCTTCCTCCTATTATTCCCACTATCGTCACCAAACCCACAACACCATTGCCAAGATGAAGCAATAGTCATCCTCAGTGCCCATTGGAGAAGCCGTTTAGTTTGTATTGTATTTTTTGTCATCATTCAAACTTGTTCTGGGCGTCATCTGGTAGGTGTGTGTGTGTGTGTGTGTGTGTGTGTGTGTGTGTGTTGACATCATATTTATTTTAAACAAGGGGCAGTTCACCATAGACCATGAGGCTCAGTTGACCATATTGTGTGAAGGTCTGAACTCATTGGTCGCGGCGTAATAAATGTCACTTGTATAATAACAGTAAATTTACTTCTCATTGTTGTCAAATTCTGGGGTGTGAAGGGTGTATATATATATATATATATATATATATATATATATATATATATATATATATATATATATATATATATATATATATATATATATATATATATATATATATATATATATATGAATTGAACAGTTGAATTTTCTCATCACTGTTGTTAGACAAGAACTAGAACAAATACAGTTAAAGACAATTAAGAAATAAAAACAATGTGTTGAATTTTGTCAACATTTGATAATTATAAAATCACTTAAATTAGACAATTTGATTTAACCTTATTTATTATAACAACTAGAGTTACTGCTCTTAATTTAGTAACACAATATATTTATATAGTTAAAATATCTACCTCTTTATTTTGTAAATATAAAGTAATTTAATTAATGAGAAATTCAGGAACTTACTTGTTACTTCACACAATCCACATCATACCACATCATACACATTTCGTTGATACTGCAAAGGCCCGAGTGAGGGCCGAGAGGCGAGGGAACGAACTTAGACAATTTCTGACGTTCAGGAACGTTCTTGAACGTGTATAAAATAAACCCGTTTTCCATAAGGCAACGTGTCCTTTAAAAAATAAAAGGAGCACAGTTTTCTTGGTTTAAAACCCTTACAAAACAGTTAACGAACTAAATGGGGTAAATATTTTTCACCAATTTCATACGGCGGTTTTACACCAGCCTATTAGGTTTTATCACAAATATGATCTGGTCACTGCAAGGCATAACACCTTCAGGAGAAAAACCTGTGGTGCCCCCTTCTTTTGGTGCCCTAAACACGTGCTTATTTTGCTTAATGGTTAATCCAGTCCTGAGTGGAGTGGGATGGCTTGGTGAGAGACATTGGAGTGGGATGGCATGGTGAGATACATTGGAGTGGGATGGCTTGGTGAGAGACATTGGAGTGGGATGGCTTGGTGAGAGACATTGGAGTGGGATGGCTTGGCGAGAGACATTGAGTGGGGTGGCTTGGTGAGAGACATTGGAGTGGGATGGCATGGTGAGATACATTGGAGTGGGATGGCTTGGTGAGATACATTGGAGTGGGATGGCTTGGTGAGAGAGATTAGAGTAGGATGGCTTGGTGAGATACATTGGAGTGGGATGGCTTGGTGAGAGAGATTGGAGTGGGATGGTTTGTTGGTGACCGCCCCTAACCCTGCTACCCCGTTATTCGTTAATGGCTTGTTACAGACTGACGGATCACCTCGTTATAGTTTTGTCGTGTCGTTTGGGATTACAGTAATGTTATTTGTCATCTACAAATTAGAATCTGTTTGTTTTCTTAACCCTTTGAGTCCTGGAGGGTTAAACCATGGTCGTTCGAGCGTTAACCACCTCCATCGTTATCAAAAGGGTTAAATCCTCCTCCTCATAGGGTTAAATCATAGTCCTGAAAGGGTTAAAGCCATCTTTCTCAAAGGGTTAAATCAGCGTCCTCAAAGGGTTAAATCAGTGTCCTCAAGGGGTTAAACTATTGTCTTCAAAGGGTTAAACCACCACTACCATCATCAAAAGGGTTAAACCATCATCCTCAAAGAGTTAAAACATAAACTATACTTGCAGGCTCGCTGAAGTGATTTAAGACTTCATAAATCCTCATACTCGAGAAAACTTGTCGCATGTGAAGAACTCGTTAGTTAATTTAAAGGGCAATTCAGTTTACTTTGTTAATGATGTCAAATATTTTTGCGTCTCGTGGGCGTTAAAGCGAAGGATTTTAACACAACAACAGTAATGAGCCAGCCTAAGTGTGTGTGTGTAATGATAATAATATTATTATTATTACTATTATTATTATTAATAAACGGTTTATTAATAGAGTTGCAGCCGGTGGCTGAAAATATACAAGCTTACGTGTGATTTAAACATAATAATATAGTCAATACATTTACAGGGCTGTACAGTGTACAGTACATGAATCAGGAGCTGTTTATTATTTTAACAATAGATGGGATGGTGCTGTTCTTATATCTATCAGTGAGGGCTCTTATGGGCTGAATTTTGTTGTAGTGGCAGACTGGGCGAGGTGGGCGGGGGACTGCCGGTGGCAGGAGGTGGCGATGGCGAGGGTGGTGCAGTAGTCCACTGCTAAACCTTTCCAGTGCGTGGTGGTGGAGGTCACTGAGGATGGCATTTCCAGGGTGGAGAGAGCGTTGATGTAGCCGGAGTTGTCTGCACCGAGCATGATTCTGCAGGCTGTCTTCTGTACCTTCTCTAGCTGACGTTGTTGGGTTGAGTTGTGTGTGTGTGTGTGTGTAATTTTTTTTTCCATTTACTTCCTTTAACAATTTACCCGTTGATTCATTAATATTTACCATATTTTTTTTTTTTTACAGGAGACGCAGAAGTGGCGAGGCCAGAGAGGAGGAGGAGGAGGTGAAGGAAGAGGAAGAGTAGGAGAAGGAAGAGTAAGAGGAGGAGGAGAAGGAAGAGTAAGAAGAGGAGGAGGAGGAGGAGGAGAGGGGATGATCGAGGCCCCCTGGAGAACGTGGCTGTTACTGCTCCTGTTCCTGGCTACGTCTACCCCTTCGTCAGCAGCCGAGACCCAAGGTGAGTCTCCGCCCGCCAGCACCACCGCCACCCCCCACGTGCTCCCTCCTGCCGAAGAAATCCTGGGCAGGGAGGAAATTAGTTACAGCACCAGCGGCCTCCAGGAAGACTCCCCGCTCCTGCTGGATGACGTGGATGACTTCTTGCCGCCCCTAAGCTTCACGGACACGCCCCAGGAAGTCCAGAGTCCGTTAGGTAAGAGAGAGTTTTCTGGGATAGTCGCTGACGAAGGGAGTGATGCAGCAACTAACAAGAATGTGCACGCTGAGTCTCACCTGGTGAAAGGGTAGAGGGTAGTGACGTGTGTGTGTGGTGAAGGGGTGGAGGGTAGTGGCGTGTGTGTGTGGTGAAGGGGTGGAGGGTAGTGGCGTGTGTGTGTGGTGAAGGGGTGGAGGGTAGTGGCGTGTGTGTGTGGTGAAGGGGTGGAGGGTAGTGGCGTGTGTGTGTGTGTGAAGGGTGAGGGTAGGGCGTGTGTGTGTGAAGGGGTAGGGTAGGCGTGTGTGTGTGTGTGAAGGGGTGGAGGGTAGGTATGTGGTGAAGGGGTGGAGGTGTGTGTGGTGAAGGGGTGAGGGTAGTGTGTGTGGTGAAGAGGTAGAGGGTAGTGTGTGTGTGGTGAAGGGGTGGAGGGTAGTGGCGTGTGTGTGTGGTGAAGGGGTGGGGAGGGTAGTGGCGTATGTGTGTGGTGAAGGGGTGGAGGTAGTGTGTGTGTGTGTGGTGAAGGGGTGGAGGGTAGTGGCGTGTGTGTGTGTGTGGTGAAGGGAGAGAGAGAGAGGAGCTGTGTCCAGAATGTTGGTGATGGAAAGGAAGGAATTAATTCAGCACAAGGTAGTGTAGTGTAGAACCTGACGCACACCTCAACTCACCTACTAACACCTAATAATACAGGTAAGTAATTATCCTCGCACTAACACCTGGGTGACTGGAACTATTCAATTAAGCTTTAAGGTATTTACAAAAATGTATCACTGGTACTACGATTAATCTCAGTGCCACTCTTATGGACCAATCATAGTGCCACTCTTATGGACCAATCATAGTGCCACCCTTATGGACCAATCATAGTGCCACCCTTATGGACCAATCATAGTGCCACCCTTATGGACCAATCATAGTGCCACCCTTATGGACCAATCATAGTGCCACACTTATGGACCAATCATAGTGCCACCCTTATGGACCAATCATAGTGCCACCCTTATGGACCAATCATAGTGCCACCCTTATGGACCAATCATAGTGCCACCCTTATGGACCAATCATAGTGCCACCCTTATGGACCAATCATAGTGCCACCCTTATAGCCCAATCTTAGTGCCACTTCCTAGCTCCTGAGCTTAAAGGCAACAGGGAGAATCCTACAGCACTCCAACCTAACCTAACCTAACCTAACCTAACCTAACCTAACCTAACCTAACCTAACCCAACCTCTTTCGTTTTGTACGATTTTTGCTCTCTACATATCATGATATACAAATAAAACCTCCATACAATGGATTCCTCTCTCCATATAATCCGTTAAATGGCGGTTTCACATATAACGGACCCTTTTTAACGGACTTTCTTCTATATAGTCCTTTAAATAGAGGGTTTAGATAAAATGGACCGTCAATAATAATGGACTTCTATATAGTCCGTTAAATAGAGTTTTCACTAAATGTATGTATGTATGTATGTATGTATGTATGTATGTATGTATTACATTACGTATATCTAAACTACCACGTCAGTAACACGTCACTTCTTCAGGGTGTTCCTCGCCGCTGGGGATGACAACAGGTGATGTGTTGGACTGGCAGATATCAGCTTCGTCATCCTACCCTTCGTCGTGGGACCCCGGCTGCCACGTCAAGTACGCCCGCCTTCACCAGCCCAACGGGAGGGCCTGGTGCGCCGGCAGGAAGGCAGCTGGGGAGTGGGTGCTCGTCGATCTGGGCGTCCCAGCCAAGGTAAATATTTTCTCTATTTACAGGTGACAGAACTCAACCAGATCTTGTAACCAATAAGCGAACATAATTTCTCCTGGTGAGTGTGTTTAGGATAACTTGAGGGGTGGGGCGGGATGCAGAATAACTTGTCAGTCTACCACTTAGGGTTTACGAGTTTCCATATATGCTTGGGCTTTATGAGTCTGAATCTCTCGGGGGCTCGTGGTTCAGGGGAGAGGTAAGTGGACTTTTGTAGTTGAGTTTTCGTTTTGTTCATGTAATAAAGGGAATAATATTGAACATTAAGGATATCAAAAGCTTAAAGACCAAACTTATACCTAATCAGATCGAATCCTAAGCTGAGTTATACCAAACTAATCAAACATTACTTAAAGCCAACCTATTCTAATATAATCTGAATACAGCTTTAATCTAATTTAGCTTAGTGTTATCAAGCTGATCTCTAAGCTAACATAATCTAACTTAATCTAATCGAAACCATATTTATCCAAAACCCAAAGTAGCTTGGCTCATTTTGAACCTAATTTAACTGAACCAACCTTAATTTAACCTAACCAAACCAAACTTATCCTAACCTAACCTACCTTAACCAACCTAACCTAACCTACCTTAACCAACCTAACCTAACCTCTGTCTCACCCCAACTAGGTCACGGGCCTCCTGACACAAGGGAAGGGGGACGACGAAGAGTGGGTCACGTCCTACGAGGTGTCCTACTCCCTGGACGCCTATCACTGGCACTACGCCCGTGACATCTACAACAACAAAAAGGTTAGTCTCTGTACGGTCTTGTGTTTTACCTCTGGTCACGTCTTGGTGGTCCTCTATGGTCCCGGAAATATGTTATGGTCCCAGGGATTGTATATGGTCCTAGGGATTTACTATGGTCCCAGGATCTGCTGTGGCCCCAGGTATGGCTCTCATGGCCCAGGAATGGTTCTCGTGGCCCCAGGTATGGCTCTCATGGCCCCAGGAATGGTTCTCGTGGCCCCAGGATAGTTTTCGTGGCCCCAGGTATGGCTCTCATGGCCCCAGGATGGTTCTCATGGCCCCAGGGATGGCTCTCATGGCCCCAGGGATGGCTCTCATGACCCTAGGGATGGCTCTCATGGCCCCAGGATGGCTCTCATGGCCCCAGGGATGGCTCTCATGGCCCTTAGAATCACCTCGGCATTTCAACAGCAACGATTTTAAGCCACAGACGTTCAGGATAACGCCGGGCTGGATCACAATACTGGGTGAATATATATCATTACAACGCCACAAGACGTCTTCCGTTCCGGCTCTTTAATTTAGTAGTCAACAATGATGGATGGGTTCGAACCCTGATACTCGTGACTAGCACCTAGAGGATATGCCGCCATACCACCACCACCACCACCAACAACAACAACAACATCGTATTATAATTGAATATATAAGTTCTTTATATACGAAAGGTTAAAAAAAAAACTTAGGTTAGGTTAGTTTTACGTTAGGTTAGATTAGATTTCGGGTGTTTAATGACCAGGTGAAATAAACTTAGGTGTCTAATGTTCACATGATCCGTCATCTATTGTTCTTCTAACAACAACAACAACAACTTATCACACCCAACATTTCTATCTCTAAGTCAAATAAAAAAGTATATAAATCAATGAATAAATAACAATACATGAATAATAAATATAGATAATATGAATAAAAACCAACATTATTCATTGGTCCTTGAGGCACTTGTACCCTTAATGTATGAGTCACGAAGGTAAGAATGTTGTTTAATCATATAGTTAAGAATGTTTTTTTTTTAATATGCAGGTAAGAATGTTTTAATGACAGGTAAAGAATGTTTTTAATTAAATGTGAAATTTTGTTTTTTTATTATGCAGGTAAGATTTCTTTTAATTAGAGGTACGAATGTTTTTAATGAGAGGAAAAGAATATTTTAATTATACAGTTAAGAATGTACAGTGTTTTAATGAGATAAGCCAAGATAACGATAATGAGAAAGACGGATTTCTCTTAACACAAAACAAGATAAATTTTAGCGAGACAGTTCCAAGTACAGTAAAATTAATGAGAGACAAGACATTTTACGACACAGGTAAGATTGATTTCATATCATTATATTTTGTTTTTGTGTTTAACGATACGATCAAGAGTGGTAATAAATTGGTCCAGGCAAGAACACTTATAATTAATTACACCTCAGGTATATAAAGTCTTTTTATGACTTAACTTAGATATAGAGAGACCAGTCAAGTGACCAATGTGGGAGAATTCCATGATGCTTTCACTCAGTGTTTGATTAGTTACCTGTACGTGAGGTGATCTCTCTCTCTCTCTCTCTCATAATAATGGTGCTTGGGAAATCATTTATTTTCAATTATTTAATCCTGTTTTGCATTAATTTTTTTTATATCTTCAATGGCTCGATTTATTGCCTCCACTCGCCACACTCTGTTATAAATGATAGACACAACTCGGTACGTGTGAAAATTTTATGGTTGTCTGGGCCCCTTTATGGTTGTCTGGGCCCCTTCATGGTTGTCTGGGCCCCTTCATGGTTGTCTGGGCCCCTTTATGGTTGTCTGGGCCCCTTCATGGTTGTCTGGGCCCCTTTATGGTTGTCTGGGCCCCTTCATGGTTGTCTGGGCCCCTTCATGGTTGTCTGGGCCCCTTCATGGTTGTTTGGGTCCCTTCATGGCATTCCTTCCTACCCTTCCCTTCTACCCCTCCCTCTCCCCCCACTCCGTCCTCCATCTCACCACCTCTATGTCTCCTACTCCTATCCCTCCTCCATCTCACCAACCTGTCACCAAGATAGTGATCTCTTTCACTGCCGCAGTTATCACTGGTGAGTGACGCCCCCCTCACTACACAGTACTTGTTGTTCCTCTCTCTCTCTCGCGCCTCTGAGAGAAGTGACGTCAGAGAGTGTTAGTTTATATGTGTGTGAAATAATAATAAATAATATTTAACGGTTTATTGGAAAAGTTCGGCAGCCCGAAGGCTGAAAGTATACATTGGACATAAATGACTTATTACATACATTGGTGGTTTAACAAAACGGTATATTTATAGAGTTGCAGCCGGTGGCTGAAAATATACAAATTTACATGTGATTTAGACATAAAAATATACGTTCAGTACAATTACAGGGCTGTGCAGTACATCAATCAGGAGCTGTTTATTATTTTAACAATAGATGGGATAGTGTTATTCTTATATCTATCGGTGCGGGCTCTTATGGGCTGAATTTTGTTGTAGTGGCGGACTGGCGAGGTGGGCGGGGGACTGCAGGTGGTAGTGAGGGATGGCATGTCCTGGGTGGAGAGAGCGTTGTTGTAGCCGGAGTCGTCTGCGCCGAGCATGATTCTGCAGGCCCTCGTCTGTACCTTCTCTAGCTGACGTTGTTGGGTAGAGTTGAGAGAAGACGACCAGTCTGGTGACGCATACGTTAGTTTGGGGAGTATAAATGCGTTGTAGATAGTCCTCAGCTCTGGCGTGGGTATCCCAAGTGACCTGAGTTGTCGGTACGAGGCTGCCTTGATTGTGTTGTTTACATGGGCCTTCCAGTCCAGTTTGTTGTCTATGGTAACACCCAGAAGTTTGGCAGACTGCACCAGCTGGAGAGGATGGGCACCCACTGTGACTGCTGGAGCTTGCACTGCAGTGGTGGCTGTGTTGATGTGCATGACTACGGTTTTGGTGTGGTTGATGGTGACCTTGTTCTCCGTAGTCCATGCCTGTAGCCTGTCCAGGGTGCCTTGTAGCGATGAGTAGTCCGGTGAGGTGTTGTCCATTGTAACCCCCACAGTGCAGTCATCCACGTACTTCCACCTGTGAGGAGTGTCCGATAGAGCGTCGTTGATCAGGATTAGGAAGCACACTGGTCCCATCTTGGTCCCCTGGGGAACACCGCAGGTGAGGTGTTGGAAAGTGGAGACAGAACCTTGGTACCTCACTGCTTGACGACGCTCACTCAGGAAATCAGTGAGCCATGAGACCAGGTTGGTGTGCAGCCCAAGTGCAATGGCCTTTTTGATAAGAGTGCAGGGATCACCTGAAGAATCGTCGCTCCAGAGTCCGGCAGGGCGACAATTCTTCACGTGGGATATCCTGGGGCGACGATTCTTCAGGTGGCAACACCTGGGGTGACAATTCTTCAGGTGGGGTCAGGAGCCTCCACGGATGTTAATCTTGAGGTTAGTGGAGTCAGGACCCTCCAGTCAGGTAGGAGGACTATATAATAGTAAGTGGGCTCCAAAAAATTTAGTCATAATCAGTCGACGATTTTTGGGTGGTCAGGGTGCAGTGATCAAGGTCAAAAATATTCTGGGAATGTGGGCGGCGGCCAGTAATGTCTTACGTTTTCTCGGGTTTGTGCAGAAAATCAGAAAACTAACTAAGCGGTGTGATGTGGGAGGTTCACATATCAATTTTGGTGTTGTGATCACTTGGCTGATAAATACTTGCAAATGCCATTTCAAAACAAGTCTTCACGTATGTGGACTGGGTGTGGGGGTAATGTTTGTGACTGGCCTGAGTCACTTGATGACTGTGGTGTGGATGTGGGGATAGGGTGATAAATGTGTTTTCCATTCATTGGGGCATTTGTTTGTCTGGGGGAGGTTATAAGTTGACTCAAACTCTTGGTTAAATTTTGATGGAGGTCAGTGGGGTTGTTGAGTTGTTGGAGTTAAATTTGGGGTTTTGTTGACAATTTCAAATGGTTGAACACTGGGAGGTGGGGAGGTAAGTATGGCCAGGAGGGTGAGTCAAGACTGGGTATGTATGACATGTATGTAAGTGGTTATTAATTATCTCGGCTGCCTCTCACTGGGTAAAATGAGGTGATGAAAGGAAGTGTGGGGGACGACGGTTGGGGACCACAGGATCACCTTGGGTACCACCCGATGATGGCAGGCTTCCTTGAGGCCAAGTCGCACCATGGAATAGTGTGTGTGTGTATGTGTATATGTGTGTGTGTGTGTGTGTGTGTGTGTGTGTGTGTGTGTGGCGTGTGTGTGTGTGTGTGTGTATGTGTATGTATGCATGCTAGATAATTATTATTTGACCATGTAATCCTTCTACACACACACACACACACACACACACAGTCATTCCAACTCCTGTTTTAAACATAACAGGTTTTTGCAGTTTACTTTTGAGAGGCTGGACATTTAACACTCACACATCTGTGAAGCGCAGAAGCTGGCCTTGACAAGGAAGCTTGTAGCAACTATGGCTCATTAAGTACAAGGTAATGAAATGACTGAAAGGTCATGGGTTTGTCCAACAAGTTACATCAAAGAAGCGGGGCCAAAGTGAGTGTATCTTCAACAGGGGGATTGTTCATCTGTTTATATGGCAATCCCTAATAATGTCAAGTGCCAGACCTGTGACTAGGAGGGAGGATATCTGGTCAGGGGAGGGAATAGAGTGTTGGCTAACAGCCAGGAGACCTGTGGAGGAGGTCATAGGGCAAGTGAGGATCGCAGTATGAGAAAGGGTGTGAGAGTCAGGTTAAACCTGAGTTTACAAACAGTGCGGCGGAGCTCAGGGTTGCTTAATATGCCTCCTTAAGTGCCTGTACACCGGCGCAGTCTCCATATATATATAATCTGTTGAAGATCGGGTCAGAGATTGATACTCTTGTAGTGGCGGTTGGAGTCACCGGTTTGTATCATGGAGTCATGTATATGTGGCGCTGCCCCGCTTTTTCAGGTGTGTCCATTTCGTCGAATGCTTCATTTGTGTGTGGGTTGAGATGATTCAGGGAGAGGCGG